GGTGTGCACCATTACACCTGGCTAATTTTTTTATGTGTATTTTTGTAGAGATGGGGCCTTGCTATGCTGCCCAGGCTGGTTTCAAACTCCTGGGCTGAAGTGATCCTCCCACCTCAGTCTCTCCAATTGCTGGGATTTCAGGCATGAGCCACTGCGCCCAGCCTAAATCTCTCTCTCTCTCTCTCTCTCTATATATATATCCTCTCTTAGTTTTGTTTCTCTGGAGAACCCTGATGAATACAGAAGGGTGAGCAGATCAGGCCCGGGGTGAAGCCGTGACCTCTAAGGCGTAGAGCTACAAGTCAGGTCTGGGTGACTCTTGTTTGGTTCTCAGCCTTTGCTGGGGGACCGAGCTGCAGAGAAGGCCTCTGGCCTGAGGCCTGGCATCCCCAGGTCTTGCCTCACTAGCCTGCCCCGGAAACAGTTTACATGGAGATCCAGGGTCTGACATGCAGGCTGAGAACCAAGAGCAAGCATTAGGTGAACGACAAGGTAATGACCACACCACGAATACCCCATGTCATCTCTCTTCCTCTCTCAGAACCTCTGACCTCAACCAGAACACTCACTAAGTAGAAAGGGCACGGGGACCACAGTGTAGACTTTGGAGACCGAACCTGCTCGGTAATCAGAATCCACGATGCACCTCCCTTGCCAAGGCTTGCTGGAAGCTTGAGAGGACTCACATCCTGTGTTCTACCCCAAGCCTGGCACCCCTCACCCAGGGCCTTAGAGAAGGGGACCAGCCCAAAGGGCTGAGAGCTGCGTGCCTGGCTGTGGGACCCAGTCAGGTCAGTTTCCACAATGCTTCTCATGCCTTAGGTTCTCCTTATAATCAGGACATTCTGCAAGGGAGGGGTGGGGAAGCCAGAGTGTGCAAGTGGCAGACATTCCTAGAAAATGGGACCATGGTGGTGTGAGCATATATCCTGGTGGCTTTTTTTTTTTTTTGAGTTGGAGTCTCACCCTGTTGCCCTGACTGGAGTGCAGTGGCACGCTCCCGGCCACCGCAGCCTCGACTGGCTGGGCTCCGGCAATCCTTCCGCCTCAGCCTTCCAAGTAGTCAGAACTACAGGCACACGCTACCATGCCCGACTCGTTTTTGATTTATTGTAGAGATGAGTTCTCACGAAGTTAACCAGACAGGTCTCGAACCCACCAGCTCAGGCAATCCACTCGCCTCGGCCTCCCAAAGTGCTGGGATTGCAGGCTGAGTCACCGAGCCCAGCCATCCTGGTGGCTTTCATGGCCTTAAGGAAAATACCCGCCCTACAGAAACACCTCAGACAGGACTGGCTTGACCCAAGTGGAGATCCTATTTGAAATCAAATCTTCCCCGCGTCAGCAGGTGCTCCATCCACTGTGGGCTGGGGCTGAGTCTCCATGTGTAGGCTCGTGGGGGTGTGAACACACCTCCAGGCAGTTTGGGGTTGGGAGTGAATGTCTGAAGTGTAGGTGAGAGAGCTGGGGGGGCGGGGTTGTGAGGATGATGAGGCCAGAGGGGTCTGGAACTGTTTCCTTATCAGTCAAAAGGTTAAATCCAGAAATCAGTCAGCATGTTTGGGTTGACAATGATGTGACAGGAGAGAAGGGAGACAGAGTGAGGGATGGGGAGAAACAGAGACAGAGAAGGAGGACAGAGACACAGAGATGGGGGACAGAGACACAGAGATGAGGACAGAGACACAGAGACGGGGGACAGAGACACATATGGTGACAGAGACACAGAGATGGGGGACAGAGACACAGAGATAGGGACAGAGACACAGAGATGAGGGACAGAGACATAGAGATGGGGACAGAGACAGAGATGGGGACAGAGACACAGAGATGGGAGACAGAGACAGAGATGGGAACAGAGACACAGAGATGGGGACAGAGACACAGAGATGGGGACAGAGACAGAGATGGGGATAGAGACACAGAGATGGGGGACAGAGACAGAGAGGGGAACAGAGACAGAGATGGGAACAGAGACACAGAGATGGGGGACAGAGACACAGAGATGGGGACAGAGACAGAGATGGGGACAGAGACACAGAGATGGGGGACAGAGACAGAGATGGGGACAGAGACAGAGAAGGGATCAGAGACACAGAGATGGGGGACAGAGACAGAGGTGGGGACAGAGACACAGAGATGGGGGACAGAGACAGAGATGGGGACAGAGACAGAAATGGGAACAGAGACACAGAGATGGGGGACAGAGACAGAGGTGGGGACAGAGACACAGAGATGGGGGACAGAGACACAGAGATGGGCGACAGAGACAGAGATGGGGACAGAGACACAGAGATGGGGGACAGAGACAGAGATGGGGACAGAGACAGAGAAGGGAACAGAGACACAGAGATGGGGGACAGAGACAGAGGTGGGGACAGAGACAGACATGGGGGACAGAGACAGAGATGGGACAGAGACACAGAGATGGGGGATAGAGACAGAGATGGGGACAGAGACAGAGAAGGGAACAGAGACACAGAGATGGGGGACAGAGACACAGAGATGGGGACAGAGACAGAGAAGGGAACAGAGACACAGAGATGGGAGACAGAGACACAGAGATGGGGACAGAGACACAGAGATGGGGATAGAGACAGAGATGGGGATAGAGACACAGAGATGGTGGACAGAGACAGAGATAGGAACAGAGACAGAGATGGGAACAAAGACACAGAGATGGGGGACAGAGACACAGAGATGGGGACAGAGACAGAGATGGGGACAGAGACACAGAGATGGGGGACAGAGACACAGAGATGGGGACAGAGACACAGAGATGGGGATAGAGACAGAGATGGGGGACAGAGACACAGATGGGGACAGAGACACAGAGATGGGGATAGAGACAGAGATGGGGATAGAGACAGAGATGGTGGACAGAGACAGAGATGGGAACAGAGACAGAGATGGGAACAGAGACACAGAGATGGGGGACAGAGACAGAGATGGGAACAGAGACAGAGATGGGAACAGAGACACAGAGATGGGGGACAGAGACACAGAGATAGAGACAGAGGCACAGAGATGGGATAAGGAGGTAGAAAGGGAAAGAGGGAGATATAAGGAAGATGTAAAATCTGGAGTATCAGTGAGTCTGAGTATAAGCCAGAATGAGAAAAATGGGCCGGGCACAGTGGTTCACACCTGTAATTCCAAGCACTTTGGGAGGTCAAAGCAGGAGGATAGATTGAGTCCAGGAACTCAAGGTCAGCCTAGGCAACGGAGTGAGACCTCATCTCTTAAAAAAGAAAGAAAGAAAAAATTAGCCGAGCGTGATGGCAGGCACCTGTAATTCCAGCTGCTTGGAAGGCTGAGGTGGAAGGATTGCCTGAGCCCAGGAGGTCAAGGCTGAGGTGAGCCATGATCATGCCACTGCACTCTAGCTTGGGCGACAGAGTAAGACTGTGACTCAAAAAATAAAAGAAAATAAATGAGAAAACACTTTCAGATACATCTTCAGAGATGAAAAGAACTCCCTGTGCTAGGTTCTATTTCTTGTCTGTCTCTCCCATCAGGCTGCAGGTTTTGAAGACAGGTACTAGGCTCATGCCTGTAACCCTAGCACATTGGGAGGCCGAGGAGGGAGCAACGCTTAAGCTCAAGTGTTCAAGGCCAGACTAGGCAAATTAGTGAGACCTCATATCTACAAAAAAAAAAAAAAAAAAAATCAGCCAGGCATGG